TCAGAGATGGTGTGATAAGAATAGGAGGTAGGAATTGCCTAGGCAGTTAGGGTAAAAAGACCCCAAAGAAAAGTAGCCAGTTTCTTGGATAAACTCACAATGTCCTTGGGCCTCTTAGCAACGTGCTCTGTTCCAAAGGCCAAAAATGCCGAAAATATTTGGGAGCTTTTATCTAATTCTTAAAAGATTTTAGGGTTACTTCTTCAGAGGGGGGAATGTGAGAATAGCCAAAAGCCCCATAAAATAAATAAATAAATGTAAATAAATGAATCAATGAATGAATGAAGAGTACATGAAGTTATCAGAAAAAAGTGATGGGGAGATATGGGAGGAGTTGGAGAGGAGGGAGTGGGCATCAAAACACTTTATATGCATGTATGAAATTCTCAATAAATTATTTTTAAAAATGAAAATTAAAAAAGTAGTGCTTGCTGCTCTTGCAGAAGACCTGAGTTCAGCTCCTACCACCCACATCAGGCAGCTTACAACCACCTGTAACTCCAGGTCCAGAGACTCCAACACGCTCTTCTGGCCTCCACAGGCATTGCACTAACATGCACATACACATGGATACACATAAGTAAAAATAAAATCTTTTAAGGAAAGAGATCAAACCCCAATTACCTGCTTCCTGATGGTGATCTGGATACAGATCCAAAGGGTAGCGCCCAGAGCACAGCCCAGATAAATGTAAAACCTGTTTACCCACAGCAACAGCAAAGGCGAAGAAAGGTCCCATACATCCAGACCTGAGTTCAAAATGACACACAGCTATAATGATACATGCAGTTACACAACAAAGATGTCTATCGCTGTTTTAAGAATAAATACATAAAACTGGCACTAGAGAGATGGCTCAGCGGTTAAGAGCACTGGCTGTTCTTACAGAAGACCAAGGTTCAAATTCCAGCACCCACATGGCAGCTAACAACCATCCATAAGTCCAGTTCCAGGGAATCTGACGCCTTCTTCTGTCCTCCAGAGGCATTGTACAACACGGGTGCACTTTCATGCATGCAGGCAATACATACATACATATAAAATAAGAATCATAATAAAAAAGAGTAAGTACATAAATAAAAGTCAGGGCTGGAGAGACGGCTCAGTGATTAAGAGTTCTTGCTGCTCTTGCAAAGGACCCAAGTTTGGTACTCAGCACCCATGTTGGGCAGCTTACAATCATCTCCAGGGGATCTGACAGCATCTTTTGGATTAAAGGAACTGCACTCACATGGCAGACACACAGACACATACACAAATTTTAAAAATAAATAAAATCATATTCAACAATCCAGCTAAGAAATTCACCTAGCTCATTCTTTTAGTTGAGACAGTGTCTTGCTTTGTAGCCCAGCGTGGCCTCAAACCATGACAATCCTCCTGCCTCAACCTCCAAATATCAGCATGTCCAACTTTTTGTTGGGATGCTAGCCTTAAATGCACCACAGGGCAATTTCAAAATACTTGAAAACCTGAAATTTAGTTCATAGGGGATGTTCAATATACAGAGAAGTCTCAATACACATAAGAGGAGGGGGCAGATTTTTCTTCTTTGTATTTGGGGATAGATGTCCAATTTCCTTCATAACAAGTCCCTGAGTCTTAGAAAGGGAAAACCCAGTAAAGACCAGGGATCAGTCCTCCCTAGCCCCCAGCAATGACAGTCTCCTGCTAACAAGTCCCCTCAGAAAGCTGAGGTAAAAGAAGTACTGCTGAGTTTGAGGCCAGCCTGGGCTACATGGGAAGTTCCAGTCCAGCTTGGCTACATACAGCGTGTCCGAGACCTGCACCGGCTATATAACAAGACCCCTTCTAAAGAAAAACAAGAGGAAAAAAGAAAACACAATAAAGGAAACAAAAACCAAAACCCAAACTTGAAACATCAAGTGCAATAACCTGTGGCCGCTCGGTGGGGACCTCAGCCGTTTCCTCCCGCCCGCCCGAGCACCTGGCAGCCCCACCTCACCCATCCTCCGCGGAGCCGGCAGGCCACCTGCAAACGCACAGAGCTCCGGCCTCAGAACTGCAGGTCACGTTCACAGAGCCAAAGAAGCCATGCCTCTGGCAAGCCTGCCCGCATTGGCCACAAAGAACAGAGACGGGCCCAGAGGAAGCGGCAAGAGCTCAGGAGAGGAAGCTCCAGACTCTGCTCTAATTGGCTCAGGGAGGAAAGGGGCAGGCTGGAGGGACGCCCCCATCCAAAGCACGAGGCTCCAAGCGAGAGTGCTTCCGGCTCCACTCCGATTGGCTCAGAATGGGAAGGGACGGGCCTAGGAAAAGTATTGTCAAGATACGAGTGGCAGAAGCTGGAGCGATCACGCAGAGGTTAAGAGCCCTAGGTGCTCTTGCAGAGGACCCAGGTGCGATCTCCAACACCCGCATGGTGGCTAACAACCACCCGCAACTCCATAACGACCTCTGCGGGCACTGCACGACACAAGTGCACTTACATACATGCAAGCAATACACTCATACATATAAAAAATAAAAATAATATATAAAATATTTTTTAAAAAAGAAATGAGTGGTGGCACATGCTTTTAATCCCAGAACTGAAGAGGCAGAGGCAGGCGGATCTCTGAGTTCAAGGCCCGCCCGGGCTACATAGTGCGTTCCAGGCCCGCTGGGGCTACAGAGAGACCCTGTCTCAAAAAAACCAAAAAAAAAAAAAAAGGAATAAGGACTGGAGAGATGGTTCAGAGCACTGGCTGCTCTTGCTCTTGCAGAGGACCTGGGCTCAGTTCCCAGCTAATAACCATCTGTAACTCCAGCTCCAGGGGTTCTGACGCCCTCTTCTGGTTTCCATGGGAATTACACAAGGGTGCACTTACATACATACATGCAGGTGAAACAGTCATACAGATAAAAATAAACAAAAATAAAAAGTGGAATGAAAAGCAGAGAAAAAGAGGGACAAATATTAAAAAGAAAGAAATTAAGGCAGAAGGATGTGGTGGCACATATGCTTGTAATCCCAACATTCCCGCTGAGACAGAAGGATTGCTTATGAATGAATTCAAGGCCAACCTGGGTCATATAGACAGACTTTATTTCAAAAACAAGCAAGCAAGCCAAAAGGCTTAAGGACAACAGTATGCAGTCCAACTGTAAGGGTTCATTTGTTCATCTTAACTAGAGCAAACCAACTGTAACAAGGCATGATTTAGGAGAAAGTAGAGAATGAAATGTATTTTAGATGCAACCGAGAGTTTATGGTGAATGTTGGTGGGTGTCAAAGTTATATACTGAAAAAAAAAATTTTTTTTTTTTTTGTCTTTTTGAGACAGGGTCTCGTGGAGCCCAACTGGCCTGGAACTCACTATGTAGACCCAGCTGGCGTCTAACTCACAAAGATTCGCCTGCCTCTGCCTCCCACGTGCTGGGATTAAAAGACTGTACCACCGTGTCTTGCGATATACTGAAAATTTAAAGACCAAAACCATATGATGTCTTGCTTTGGGAGGTGATGATACAGGGTCTCATGTAGCCCAGATTGGCCTCGAATTTCCTATGAAAGTGAGGATAACTCCTGATTCTCCTGCCTCTACCTTTCAAGTGCTGGCATGGGGGACCATACCCGGTGATTTCCCTTAAAATATTACAGTAAAAAAGGAGTAAGTATAAAATAACGGAAACGTGCCGATGGTGTTTATTAAAACAGATGGGCGAGATTTATTAAACTTTTTTTCTCTATTCTGTTCAAATTTCTCTTTAATCTGAGGTTAAAGTGGGCGACGCGCCTGAACTCTTGGGAGCTATACTACTACAGTACCACGTTTCCATCCGGTCACTAAACATAAGACAGCAGCCTGACGGTATCATTGATGCAAGTAAATGACGACTCGGGAGAGCGGCATCCCTTTGCGGGCGGTAACAGATGACGTAGCACGCTACGCCAGCGTAGTCGCTAGCTTGTCCTCCACCCGGCTGACGTACCGCCTGACGCATGCGTAGTAGGACAGCTGAGTGCCTAGTAGCTGCCTACTGGTCGAAGTTCAGCACTCCACCCGCAGCACGCAGCTTGGTCGTTACAGCCCGGCGCTTGGAGGCTCTGAGGCCTGGTGAGCAGAGGTCTAGTGCCCAGCCGTCATGTCGATCTTCACCCCCACCAACCAGATCCGCCTGACCAATGTGGCCGTGGTGCGGATGAAGCGCGCGGGGAAGCGCTTCGAAATCGCCTGCTACAAAAACAAGGTCGTCGGCTGGCGGAGTGGCGTGTGAGTGACATTGTGCCCTAAGCCCAGTGGACCTGCCCCACCGGCGTCTGGCCTCCCCGAGCGCGGCCTCTGAGCCAGGGGCTTCTTTCGGGTTTGGTTGGCTCGGATTGGGTTTCTTGACTTGGGGCTTTGTTGGTATCCTAAAAGCTGCAGCCAGGAAACCCCATAATAGCTGGGCCTGGTGGCCTACATTTGTAATCTCAGTGCTCAGGAAGAGGAGGAGGAGGCAGGAGGATTGCTGCGAGTTCCAGGCCAGGTTGGACTGGTGTATGTGACCCTGTCTCAATAAAACAAAAAATTCTGCACTCAAGAAGCTCCGGAATTATGGTGGGGTTCCTGGATTAATTATTAAAACTTGAACCTGATATTCCAAATAGCCTCAAAGAAAAGAAACTTTTTACGGTCGTTTTCCTGGAATAATGAAGACGGAAGGGTAATCTTCCAGATACTGAAATAATACAGCTGACATCACAGATCTCAGGATCCCAGGGTTTCGTTAAAGTAGGTAGTGTCTTCCCGACTGCCCTCTAGGGATTGACCTTGTGGAAGAATATCAGCCTTCCACACCAACCCCAGCCACACCCTGTATTTCGGTACATAAAGGTGACGTTTTTCCTAAGGTAACTAAGTGGGAGGGAATACAGATGCTTTCCTAAGCTTTGAGAGTGTTACTCTACACAAAGAATGGAGAATAGGATTGAGGGGAGTTGTGTGTGTGTTTGTATTTCTGTTTTGGGTGGTGGGTTTTTTTTTTGTTTTTGTTTTTAATGTGAATGATTGTTTTGCCTGCATGTATGTGTTTACACCACATGCATGCAGTGCTCTCAGGCCAGAAGATGGCGTCAGATCCCCTGGAGCTGGAGTTACAGGTAGTTGTGAGCCACTGGATATGGGTGTTGGGAATCGAACTCAAGTACTCTGCAAGACCGCTAGTTGCTCTTAACTGCTGGGCCATCTCTCCAGTCCTCGTTTTGGTTTTTGAAACAGGGTCTCATGTGACCCGAGCTGGCCTGAACACACTGTGTGGCTGATGCTGGCCTTGAACTGACTTTCCTGCCTCCTCCTCCTTACTGGTGAGATTACAGGTGTGCCCTAGCACACCCAATTTTCAGTATTTGCTTTTTGTCTTATTGCCATCTTGTATTTAAATTCAAGTTGATTTCCAAGCCTGCAGTGGATTCACAAAAACTTTCTCTCCTGCCCTTTCAAGGGAAAAAGACCTTGATGAAGTTCTGCAGACCCACTCAGTGTTTGTAAATGTTTCCAAAGGTCAGGTTGCCAAGAAGGAAGACCTCATTAGTGCATTTGGAACAGATGACCAGACCGAAATCTGCAAGCAGGTAGGTCTGTCAGCTGCAGCATAACAGATTGCCACACTCGTGGGCAGCAAAAAGACCTCTGTTCCTGCTGTTGGTCTGGGGGGTTGGGGGAGTTGGTGTTTGTGTTAGCTTTCGTTTTTGTTTTATTTCTATTTCATGTGTATGAGTTTTGTCTGCATGTAAAGTGGCATCCATGCTTGCAATGCCGAAGAAGGCCAGAAGAGGGTGTCAGATCCCCTGAAACAGGAGTTAGGACCATTGTTAGCCGCCTTGTGGGTACTGAAAACCGAACCTGGGTCTTTGGAAGGGCAGGCAGTACCCTTAACCACTAAGTCATATCCAGCCCCTCCTGTTAATTTCTGGGGACAGTCTCAAACTTGCTGTGTTGCCAAAGCTGGCCTGCACTCCTGATTCTCCTACCTCAAACCACAATACCCATTTCCAATATCACATTTTTGTTTGAGACAAGGTCTCACTACACAGCCTTCGCTGACCTGTAACTAGCTATAGAGCAGGCTGGCCTCGAACTCACAGATCTGCCTATCTATGCCTCCCAAGCACTGGAATTAATGGTGTTTGCCACCACACCCAGCTTCACTTTTTTTTTTTAATGTGTGTGTGTGTAGGTATGCTTGGGTGCATGCAGGTACCTTTGGAGGCTCGAAGAGGGCATTGGATCACCTGGAGTTAGTCACAGGGCATTTTGAGCCACTAGATAGGGTGCTAGAAATTGGACTCAGGTCCTCTGAGAGCAGCAAAGAGCTCTTAACTGCTGAGCCATCTCTCTGGTCCTCCAGGATCACTTTAAATAACAAAATTTGGATTTTTTTTGTCAAGCCCTTCAGAAATTAAATTTTGTATTTTTGATGTGGTATGCCTGCAGATCAACTTTCTTTTCTAAGACTGCCCCTTTCTCCACCTGATCCTCACCAGTGAGATTGTGGAGCCACAAGTAACACAGTGCATGCTCTAGGCCATGCTCAGTCCTGCATGTCAGCAGCTGCAGAGGTGAAGCTTCATTTTCTCCCTGCTGACTATTTCTTGTGCAGGTAAGAAAGAACTAAAATTAACAGGAGCTTTCTGGATGTTTTATGATTTTAGATTTTGACTAAGGGAGAGGTTCAAGTGTCAGATAAAGAACGGCACACGCAGCTGGAACAGATGTTTAGGGACATTGCAACCATTGTGGCAGACAAATGTGTGAACCCAGAAACAAAGAGGCCCTACACCGTTATCCTCATTGAGAGAGCCATGAAGGATATCCACTACTCAGTCAAACCCAACAAGAGCACAAAGCAGCAGGTGAGTAGCCTTTGATGTCACTAAGACTTGGGTCTAGCCTCCTCCTCCCAAGTGCTGGTTTATGTGGAGATGAAACACAAAGTTTCATGCATGCCAGGCAGTGCTCCACCAGATGAGCCACATTCCCAGTTTCCTCCCCCTTTTTATAAAAAACACAAATGCACATAGAACTCCATCTTCCTATCCAAGTCAGACCTTGAAAACCAAACTTGGAGTTTGGGTCATGTCAATTCTTTTGGCATGTTTCTGTTCATCTATATTTTATATGCTATAAATTCAGCCTTTTAGGGCAGATGCTTGTATTCCCAGCACTTGGGAGCTGAGATCAGCCTTGGCAGCATAATAAGACCCTGTCTCAAAAAAGAATACCACCAGGTGTGGTGGCTCACACCTTTAATCCCAGCACTCAGGAGGCAAAGGCAGGTGGAGGCCAGCTGGGGCTACTGGGAGACTCTGTCTGAAAAAGATTAAAAAACAAAAACAAAATGTCACCTTTTTAGAGTGTGCAGTTCAGTAATATATTCAGAGTTTTAGAACCTTTTCAAATTAGAATACACCAGTACCTTCCATCACATGGGAGATGGAGGCAAGAGGTCATCCTCAGCTGCATAAAAAGCTTTGAGGCCAACCTAGACAACATGATACCCTATCTCAGAATAAATAAGGTGCTAGGGAGAGGGCTTGCTATACAAGCCTAGGGACCTGCGTTTGAATCCCCAGGATCCACATAAAAAGCCAAATGTGGTCATTCGTGTACCTAGAATCCCACTGCTGTGGGGGACAGAGATAGGAGGCTCACTAGGAATTCCAAGTTTAGTGAGAAATTGTGTCTCAAGGGAATAAGGCAGGGTGCTAGAACAGGACACCCAGTGTCTTCCTCTGGCCTCCTCACATGCATCATTGTCTCCCACCTGCATACACACATTTTCACATGCCACATATGTATCACACACAAAATAAAAATAAGGAAGTTAACAGATAGCAAGTATGGTACTACTGATGTAACTTTAACATGCGTGCTCCCTGAGTTATATGTGTTCAGGTAGTTTCCTGACTTTGCCCTGATCATGTGTGGCCAGTGTAAAACAAAGGAGTTCGAGAACTTTTATAGTGAGCAGCATCAAACTGTTCACTCCACTCTGAAAACCCGAAAGGCCCTAAACCATTGTAGAGGGCATCAGAAGACTAAAGACTCATCCTCCTCACACTTGAAAGAAGAAATGAACTTTTGGTCAGTCACTGTGTACCATTTCCTCTCCAGGAGTCCTCAGATTCCCAGTGCCTAGCCCTGGAGAGGCAGAACAGAAAGGTCTGTGAGAACTCCAGCACATCTACTTGAAAGTTCTCCTGTCATCTAGCAACCTGACACTGTGATTGGCTATTACCTGCTCAAAGGAGAGCAGCTGAACCTGTCTGCCTGCCTGCTTGCCTAGTGGAGGCTGGGTGCTCCACTAGGTTCTCAGGTTGGAGCACTGCCTCAACTGGAACAGCCACAGGCAGTGTACAACATATCTACCCGTTCTTCACACATTTTAGTCATTCTTCTGGATGATTTTGGCCTTGCTTTGATGGAATCACTGCCTTTTTAAGGGTTCTTGTAGAGAACCAGGACCTCTTGCCGCATTCTGCCCTGGTCACCGTATCTGTTAAGAGCACATCCAGAACTGCTCTGCCCTGATCACCACATCTGTTACACACAGTGCATCTTGAGCTACTTTTTCTGCCCTCATTTTTCTGGTTTTCTTTGGTTTTTGTTTTGTTTTTCCCATAAAGAGGTCATTTTTGCTTGGTAGCTTCTCAAGCTCCTCAGCGGCAGTCCTTCAACAGGACTGGGCTTTGGCCTCCTGAGAGTTGGAGCAGAGGATAGATTGTCATCTCCTCATGTTTTTGTGAACACATGTATTCCTCTGAGCTCAGAATTGCCTAAGACTGACTTCACAGAACACAGAAACTGTGCCACAGCCTGCAGGGACTAACCCTTCCACACACCAGCAAGGAGGCTCAGTCTGCAAATCTTGTGGGATGCCCAGGTCCATTTGCCCGAGGAACATGTCTGTGGTCTCACTGTTCTAGAACTGCTAGCTCTAGGGACAGGTCTATGTCAGAGACCAGAGAAATCAGAAGGGCATTCTGTCCTAGAGAAGTTCCAACATATGTTTGCAAATGTAACTTCTTGTTTTTTCACTTTCCTGGTAGTTTACAGTGCCGAGGCTGCATGGTAGGCAAGTGTCTGCCACTGAGCTACATTCCCAGCCCTTGACAGTATTTTCTGAAGCAAAGAATCATTTTCTTATCATCATGTCTATTCCGGGTTTTTCTATGGTGTTGTGGCTAAGAAGCCATTGGCATAATGCGACAAGGTGGAAAATGCTTTGTTCTTGTGTGGCATGTGAGTTGGTGTAGCACAGTAAATAAACAGCAAATGCTCCCAATTTTTGACTTGACAGGCTTTGGAAGTAATAAAGCAATTAAAAGAGAAGATGAAGATAGAACGTGCTCACATGAGGCTGCGGTTCATCCTGCCAGTGAATGAGGGGAAGAAGCTGAAGGAGAAGCTGAAGCCGCTGATGAAGGTTGTAGAGAGTGAGGACTACAGTCAGCAGCTGGAAATCGTAAGATCGCAGCGGGGCATTGGTTCTGCCTTGGCCCAGAAATTGTAATATCATAATGAAACACTCTTGGCTTCATTCCACCAAAACAGCTTATTTTCTGGTCATAAATACTGTATTAGTTGCATAGCAGTGACCAAAATGAGAAAACAATTTACAGAAGGAAGGGTTACTTGCTATCTCCAAGGATTCAGTCCATGGTCCACTGGGTCTAGGCACTTGGGCAGAGCATCACATGCTGTAGGGTGGGGTGGTGAAGGAGGTTCTTCACCTCAGGGCAGACAAGAAACATCAGGGAGAGAGAACATGGCATAGCCTGCAGAGACTTGCCGCCCAACCCCCACCCCGTAACCCACTTTCTCAGCTAGACCTAGACCCTTAAAATTTCCAAATTTAACAAAATAGCACCACCAGCTGAGGACATTTCATATTCAGACCACATAATAGCATTTAGGAGTTGTAGGCTGGGCTAACGTCACAAGGTATATGAGTATAACTGCACCTCAGTTAAACACACAAGATTTTATCTGCTTTTTAGTCGTTGTTCATAACAATTATATTCATTTCTTTTAGATGACAAGAGATATATTTTTTTCTTTTTTTGGAGGGTGTTCTTTTTGAGTCAGGGTCTCCCTGTAGCCCCAGCTGGCCTGGAACTCAGAGAGCCACCTGCCTCTGCCTCCCGAGTGCTGTGACTAAAGGCATGCACCACCACACCCGGCCTGACAGGATATATGTCACACTGAGTCTTCTGTTACAAGACCAAGTAAAAATAAAAGTTGAGCGAAGCACAGTGGCACACACCTGTCATCCCAGCACTCAGCAGGTAGAGGCACAAGGATCAGGAGTTCAAATGCAGCCTTAGCTATATAGTTAATTTGCAGCCATCCTAGGCTGCATGAGAGCCTGTTATGAAAAGGGAAAAAAAAAGACTAAAGTTATCAGCCTGGTTTATACAGGAACATTTTCTAAAAGCATTTGCAAATGAGAGGATATACTGAGTATGGTGAATAACTGCTCCAGACATGAACACCACACCTGACACCGTAAAGTGCTTGACTTCGCTGAGCCTAAGTCTTTAATGGGGGAAGTAGAGTACTGGGAATTAAACCCAGGGTTACCCTGTAGCCCCAGCTGGCCTAGAACTTGTTATATAGACCAAGGTGGCTTTGAACTCACAGAGATCTACCTGCCTCTGCCTCTGCTCAGTGCCGGGACTAAAGGTGTGCACCGTCACGCCCAGCTAAATCCAAGGTCACCAAGCTCTTGCTCCAGCAGCTGCAGCAACAGCCACCTAAGTCCCTAGACAGGGAGGTGAGTGCTAGCAGATTCCTAGTGTTGAGGCTAAACCCAGACCTAGCCTGCTGCTCTGCCCTCCACCTTGTGAAGCGGCTCTGCAGCCTAAGGTGCACCCTGAGCATTGAAGCTGGCTTTTTCCACTCTGCCACTCATCCCTGTGGTAAACGGCTGTGTTAACTGTTGCAGGTGTGTCTCATCGACCCGGGCTGCTTCAGAGAAATCGATGAGCTGATAAAAAAGGAAACCAAAGGCAAGGGCTCCCTGGAAGTGCTGAGTCTGAAAGACGTGGAGGAGGGAGACGAGAAACTCGAATGACCTCCCAGCTCCGTAGCTGTGATGCCAACCCCTGTTCAAACGTTCTGCCACTCTCCCACTCTGGTGTTAAACGTTTACCTAGGTGCAATGTGGGGATGATTTCCATTTAATTTTAAGTTGGGGTTCTAGGCAACAATGAGAAACCCAAAATACAGAGTCCAGCGTAGCTCTTCACTGATGTCATACCTTACAAAGGTCAATTTTATGTGTGATATGATTGGAGAGGTGTGTACAAAGGGCAGTGTTGTGGCTGGAGAGATGGCTTAGCAGTTAAGAGCACTGGCTGCTCTTGCAGAGGACCTGGGTTCAATTCCCAGCACCCACGTGGCAGCTGACAACCATCCGTAACTCCAGTTCCTGGGGAATCTGACACCCTGTTCTGACCTTAGTGGCACTGCACGACACGGGTGCACTTACATACATGCAGACAATACACTCATGCACAAAATTTTAAAAATAAAATATTTTTTAAAAGGAAATGTTAGCTGGGAAGAATAGCATGGTATCTGCATAGTGCAGTCTGGGTCTGGGGTATACTCAGATGAAAACTTATTTCCTATGCAGATCTACAATGACTGGCAGAACTTAAATTTTTAATTCTCATCAAACATGCTACCACACTGACTTTGATTATTCTCAGTAAAATATAAGAAGTCATTACTAATTCCTAAAGTTTATAATATATGTTAGTGTAGCTAAAATTATACATAATAAAACTTATTTTTATTAAGTTCTGGCTTGCATTTCTAGACAGCTTTTTAATTTTTTTTTTTATTTCTGTGACAAAATACCTGACAAAAGCTACCTAAGGGAGAAAGGATTTATTTTGGCTCACAGTTGGAGGGTGCCAGTCCATCATGGTCAAAAGGTAAGACTGCAGGAGTGGTGAGGTGACTGCTTACATTGTATCTGGAAGCAGGCTGATGAATACTTGCTTTCTCCATTTTTTTCTCTCTTGGACTCCAACCCATGGGATGGTGCCATTCTCGTCTCACTTCTATACTGGTTCATTCCATTCCTCCCAGTCCCCTTCTGAGCTGAGGCTAGAATGCAGGGCCGTACACTGAGCCATACCACCAGCCCCACTGGGAGAGTCTAGGAAGGTGGTCTATGACTGAACCACAACCCCAGCCTCTCCCTTAGACTCTAGGCAGGTTCTCTTAACAGCCACAACCCTAACTCCTCATTGGGGATTCTAGGCAAGTGCTCTACAACTTAGCCATGCCCACAGCATCTCACTGGGGAACTTTAGGCAAGAGCTCAACCACTAAGCCACATGACACCCTGGCCCTTACTAATGTCTTCTGGTAGAAGTTTGGGTCAGGTCTTTGAGCACTTGTTGGTCTCATTCACTACAAGGTTTTATGCTCTCTGTGCAAAGGCTTGTCAATAATACCCATCACGTTTGCGGCAGGTGATACTTCAAAAGATCAGCCTGCAAAACCCCAGAAGTGCTCAATGTATAAGGTCTGCCCTTAGAAAGTACCCATCAGGCTGGACAAAGGAAACATGGCAAGTAAATCCAAGTATTTTATTCTGTAAAGCACGTATGCACATACTTCAAACACAGAAAATCAACAAGAGAGGGAACGCCATCACAGATCAACTAGTGACCGTCATGCAGCAAGGGTCGGGAGATGGATCTGCTGCCTTCACACCCTGCAGTGCCTGCAGGAGGGTCAAAACATGGTAGGCCAAGTCCTCTGCACTGCTGGGGAGAACACAACAGAAACTCCAGGTTCCAAATGATGAGAACTTACACATAGAATCAAAACTGATTCAAGTCATACCATATGGTGAAAGGACTAAAAGAAAAGGAAAGAGATCAATATGATCTGAAACAACCATTTCACAAGAAGTTGCTGACCTCTGATTGGACCTCCAGTCCATGACTGCTACTGTGGTCAGAGTCTCCTCTGAATGGCCAATGGCCCAGTCTGCAACATTTCAGTCCTAAAGTTCACCAAGAGACAGCTGAGGAGCGGGCCTGGTGTGTACCTGTCAGTAACAGGTTCTGCAGACATCTCTTCAGGCCCCTTGTGACCACCTCCTTCCCTGGCCCTACTGCATCCAATGACCTGCCCTGGTGAATGCTGATTATTAAAGTGAGTGTCTGGTCTTAGGACAGATCATGTTGTCTAGCATTTTGGGTCTTCCTCTCATCAGGCCTAATGGGTTTTCCCCACATACAGATCCCAGCCATTGTCTGTAAAACCAGGGTGACTAACAGTAGGAACACAAACTGGGTTGAACAGTGAAAGTGACTCCTTAACTGTCTAACTCCACTGGGACATCATTACTCTGTAGCAGCTTAATCTGGAACCTGATGGTCCTGATGACACATTTTTACCAGCCAGGCCACTGGCTTTCTCCATCCTGTCTCAAAGTCTATAAGATAAGACTAAATTAAATTCACAAGTTAGCCATCGTGCAAGCAACTTGTATCGTACAAAAAAAAGGGGTGAGGGGGACAGACAGTTGTAATTTCTGCCCTTGAAATATAATAAAAAGAAAAAATGCTAACGTATCACATAACTAAAGTGATTTTAATAATTTCAATAAATCTATTGTTTTTCACTGGGCATGGTGGTGTATGCCTTTAATCCCAGCACTCGGGAGGCAGAAGCAGGCTGATCTCTGAGTTTGAGGCCAACCTAGTCTACATAGTAAGTTCCAGGCCAGCTGGGGCTCCAGGGAGACCCTGTCTCAACCAAAAATGAAATTTTTTCAATTAAAAATAAACCTATTGTTTTCCATTTAAGAATGCCTGGGATAAAATGCACTAGCCCAATAAATTTCTGAATGTAGCAAGTAACTCTAATTGAGACAGACTACAGACCTACATTTAGAGGACAGAAGTGCTGACCTCATGTCTAAGTATTTTTTGTTTTGAGATAGGGTATCATTACACAGCTCAGTCTGGCCTGGAACACACGTAGCCCAAGCTGGCCTTGAACCTCCTGCTTCAGTCTCCTGAAAGCTGGGCTCACAGTTATGAATCCCCACACCTGGCTTATCTGAAACACTGTGGGAGAACACTGTGCGAGGTGTTAAGGCAAAGCATTGATAGAAAAATAGTAAGAATACAGGTTTCAAGGATGAACTGGAAGAGATCATGCATACTGTTATTTAAAGGAAGGAGGATGTAAGGGCAAAAAGGACAGAGGAACCAGATGCTCAAAATGTCAGAGATTTTGCATGTTAAATGACCTTCAGCACTGTGTGCCTTAAGATCTCACTGACACCAACTGCTGTCACACATCTCAGTGTCCATTTCCTTCTGAAGATGTTATACAAAAATAAACATTGAAAAAAGAAAACGTGTCTCCTTTTCTAAAAATGAAAAAAAAATGAGACCCTTGCATAACTGTTAGACCAAACCATCATTCTTTCTATGCTGTGCCCTGCCTTCTAGCCCAGCACCTCACATGCCCACATCACATAGCTCCTAACTCACTTCAAAAGTCTGTGGCTTCTCTCACAGAGGAGCAGACAATACCAGAGGACAAGGTTCCTCACCACCCATGTGAAAAATGAAACTTAGATCTTTACCATGTAGGTGACTTTTAAACATCTAACCTTTCATATGGGCTAGAAGTACGTTTATCCTAACTAGAGGAATATTAAAATGTGACTTTTTTTTTCCTTAAAAAACAAAAACAAAACCTCAAGATAGATTGTTTCCTTGCAAGCAAACTAAAGAAAAAAGCATTACTGCTGTTGTTATGGTTAAGCCTCAGACATGAGACCCACAGGAGGGGCTGTGGCTTCTGAATGCAGTATCCCATTAGAGGTGCAGGCTGCTTCCAACGCTGAACACATGGGACTGAAACAAGAACCACAGCAAACCTCAACATACCAGCACCCAAACAACAGCTGCTCAGCTCAATGAGATCCATAATCCCCCAGCACTACACAGAAGACCCCAAGTCCATGGGTCCCCAGTGAAGAGTGACAAGTTCGGCTGCACTCAGAGCAAAGCACGTGCATCGCTGAACCTATTTCCAGATCAATTTTTATAAATATGTACAAATCAGTTACAGGCACTTGAAATGTCTTTGGCTGGAATAACCCAACATTGCAAAATCATGTATTCACAGAGCAGCCAGGCCCTGGCTGGTTCAGCAGGTGATGATCATGGTTCTTGGTCTCTCAGAAAACAGGGAACTGTGGGATTAGGAATCAGCCAAAGCCACCTAGGAGGAAGCAAGTTGGTAATCAGTCAAATGGGGAACAGCTGACACATACCCCAAGACCACAGGGTCACACTGACTGAACTTCTATCAGCAGAATGAGTTACTAAGGCCATAAGGAAACAACTTCACCTTACGGAGCAGTGAACAGAAACCTAAGTCTGATGATAGCACCCTGATCTGCAGAACCACTTATACTGAAAGAGTTAACTGTTTCTACCTCTGGCCAGCACCCTGTGACATGACTCACATACTGAGGAAAGGGGGCCCATCCACAACAGCTCTCCAAAAGGGACTTCAGAACACCCGTCAGGATGTCGGGATTTTTTTTTGAGACAAGATCTCACTATGTAGCCCAGGAAGGCCTCGAACTCATAATCTTCTCCATTGCCAGGATTATAGGTATATGCCACTGTACCAGGCTCACAGTATCTTGTAGCAGCCAAGGTGGCTTGAGGATATGGCTGAAAACCTAATACCATAATTTGGGCTGAAGGCGGAGACTACCTTTCGTGGAAAGTCTGGAACATCTTTCCTTGATGGAAAAGTGACTCATAATAAGTGAAGTAAGGGCTTAGCCAGAAATTTCTGTCTCCAGAAACCAGGTAGACCCTACCCATCGCTCACCTTCTCAGGACAGAACTCAGGATTGCTCTGACGTAATTTGCTGGGTCTGCCTTTGATAACCGCATAGCAAAACATAGTTATCACCATCACGAAAAGGAAGTAACTGGTGTGCATAAGATGCAGGTTTATCAATGACCGGTCATCCTGGTGAACAAGAGAAGCCAGACATGCAGCTATTACTGATGACTTCAGTGCTAAATGGGAAACTCAGCCTCCACGTCCACAGCAACTTTATTCATTTTATTATTCTGTGGCATTTGGAACTGAACCTGTGACCTCACACACAACAAACAAGTACTCTACCACTGAGCTACATCCCCAGCCACCAACTTTAATTCTTAAGCTGAACGACGGATCAGTCCATTTGTCTCCCAAACTACTATAGTTGGCTCTCGCTAAGTAAAAACAGAGTTTCTAAACAATCTCAGTTAGGGACCACCCATTCCTTCCTCTACTGTGGTTTCTACACCCCCACATTCCAGAGCCCTGCAAAACCTATCTCCTGTGAAGCCCCAGAATTTGTGCTGAACCCTGATCCACTCTGCACATGTCCTCCTGCTCCCACTGGCCTTGGGGTGAGGGCGGGCAGACTGTATCAGCTTCCCTATCTCTATGCTATGCTCCCACCACAATGGCCAGCACATCCTTCCCAGACAGCAGCCCTCCTCCTGCACTTTCCCATGGTTCTAAGTCCCTAGCAGAAAGGGATTCAGGTTGGACTCATTCTTCTGAGATCTCTGACCTGCAATTGCAGTAGCTGGGGTGTGGGAGAGACCCTGGTGGGCTTCCATTCCCTTTCCTCCTCCCACTCCAGTGCTCATGACCTCAGCCACGGACTCCCTCCACTCACACAGCGGGCAGCAGATGAAACTTTTTATTTTGGAGACTGTCTCATTCTATATAACAACCTGGCCTGGAACTCATATTGCTTCAGGCTCCTGAATGCTGTGATTTTAGGTATACCTTGCAATCCTGCATCAGACCCAGTTTCTTAAGGGACTGCTTACAACTGCCAGACACAGGCAGTAAGGGCCCTGTAGGAGGAGGGAGGCAAATGCCTCGGTTGGGCACAAAAGGCTGTGGAATCCGATCTCTGCCCTGGTCCCCACTGCTCACTCCTGCAGCTCCCTGGCTACCAACTTCCACAACTGGTTACAAATGAGACAGAGAAAAGAGAAGTCCAGAGGAAAAGAAGACAAATCCACACAGCACACTCCAGAAGGGAAACAAGGACGCTTAGAAAGTCATGGAGCAGCTGAGTCTAAGTGGACTACATCTGTTGACTGAGCAGCAGCATCTTCCTCTTCTTTCCTTCTTGTTAAATGCTAAATACACATCCTGAGCCAGGCATGGTGGCACACACCTACAATCCCAGTACTTGGTAGGCTGAAGCAGAAGAATCACAAGCTCCAGGCTAGTCTGGGCTACATAGTGAGACTGTCACAAAAAGAAGGGAAAATAAAGATATACCACCTTCTATGGCCCATTTCTATCTTTTAAAACTCCAAATAGCACTAGCCATTGCTAGTGTTGGCACTAAGCAAGGATTCTATATATAAAACCACACACAGAAATCTTGTGACCACTATAGGTTACAAACACAGCAGCTCTCCATACATAACTGCTAAGGAACAAAATGCAAAATAAAGAGCAAGGTTTTTCTTAACCACAAGGGTGGCATGATTTTCCCAGCCTCTATCACTATGTCTAGTCTTCCGAAACCTAAAGTGGCTGGGGCTGAGCTAACCCTAGAGGTAAACATGCCTGCACTCATAAATCCAGGACACACACACACAAGCACACAGACACATTAAGATATAGTCACACACAGTCACATACATACACACATTAAAAAGAGATAGTTACACAGAGTCACATACTCATAAAATTTGTCTCACTTACATCTGGAACAATAACAGTGAGCTTGGGATTTAAAGCGTGATAGACTTTGCCAATGGCCCCCTTGTAACACCAGAAGGGATTGTAGTCTTGAGCATACTTTGTGTTGGCATCTCTAGCAGTTGTAAAGATCTTGTACCAGAGTGTGGCATTGCTGTACGTGTCGGGGACACAGTGTGGTGGCTGACTGCAGAAAGAAAGACAGCAGCTCAGTGATCTCAGACACTTACTTGAGCTCCCTCCATGCACATACCCAGCAATACTGAACAAAGCAGCACACAAAGAAAAGAGAAATACAATGTTTTGAACAACTATGATGTTTCTCTGGAATAAATTCATTATAGTTCTAATTAGAGTCTTTTGTTGTTGTTTTGAGACAGGGTCTCATGTAACCCAGGTTAGCCTCAAACTCACTATATAGCAGAGGCTGGCCTTCAACTTCTGGTTCTACTATCTCCACCGCCTAAGAACTGGGATTACAGGTATAAGCCACCACAACCGTCTTTTTGTTCTTTCTTAAAACACCTACAGAGCCAGGCAGGGTGGTATGAATCTATAATCCCAGCAGTCAATGGACACTGAGGCAGGAGAATCAGAACTTCCAAGCCAGACTCTGCTACAGAGTTTGAGGTCAATCTGGGCTATATAAGATTCTGTCTCAGCCGGGCATGGTGGCGTACACCTTTAATCCCAGCACTCAGGAGGCAGAGACAGGCGGATCTCTGTGAGTTCAAGGCCAGCCTGGTCTACATAGTGAGTTCTAGGCCAGCTCAGGCTACAGGGAGACCCCCCCTTTTTGGGGGGGTTTCTTTTTGAGACAGGGTCTCCCTGTAGCTCCAGCTGCCTGGAACTCACTGACGACCAGGCTGGCCTCAAACTCACAGAGGATCTGTCTGCCTCTGCCTCCCCAGTGCTGGGATTAAAGGTGTGCACCACCATGCCTGGCAGGGAGACCCTGTTTCAAAAAGACCAAAAAAAAAAAACCCCAAAACACAAAAAAAACAGACCCTGTCTCCAAACAAACAAATCTCCCCACCCCCAAAAAATTAAAAGATAAAAACTAACAGTTTCTGGGTCATATAAATAAAAGCAACTTTTATCTCTAGGCGGCCCTAATTACAGATCACTCTGGTGGGAGGCCCTGCTCTTCCTTTTCTGAGATACAGGTCTCCTCTGGTGGGAAGGGCAGCCTGAGCGTGGCTAACAGCACTACATATTTCACTACCTCATTGAAACATTAGTTCACTGGGGCTTATTGTTGTTCATTTGTTGAGACAGTGTCTCAAGTATCCCAAGTTGGCCTTGGCTATACAGCCATGGATGACCTTGAACTTCTGATCCTCTGGCTTCATCTCGAGTGATGGAATTATAGGCATGCTCCACCACACCAGTTTAGTGTTGCTATGGATGGAACCCAGGGCTTTGTGAATGCTGGCAAACACTCTAGGAACTGAGTTACAACCCCAGCCTAGCATATTCTTATATGCAGAAATTTTACCTTTAGAATTTCAAATAATCCTGGGAGCCAGTGACATAGTTCAGTAAATAAGGATACTTGGCACCAAGCCTGACAACTTGAGTTCAATCTCCAAAGTCCATATATGGTAGGATGACAAAACCAACTCCCATTCCCACAAGTTGTCCTCTGAGTTCCACACACATATGGTGGCAAGCACACAGCTAGCCATATACACACACAAGATAAATTTAAATGACCTTTGGGGAGGTCTACCTAGTGACAACTCTAGGAAGCAACGGGGCCTACCACACTCATAGCACATGGATCTTCCCTGCACATCCACTGGGTTCAGGACACACTTACACTGTGACAGGGAAGACTCCAAGGGCAGCTGTGAGGGTCATACAAGCCGTGAATACCACCTGCTCACAGTGGCCGTGGAGGGCGCAGTCATCAGCACTCCAGGCTGTAGGCAGGGTAAAGGTGATGTTGATCTCCTCATGTGCATCCCTGCCTGTGAAGACACAGCAGCTTGTTAGTGGTCATAGGAATTCAGACTGTTCTTGGTATTCAAGTGAACCAAAGCAGACGCCTGTCAGCCTGCACACCTGGCCAATGGGATTTCTATAGCACCAAGCCTTGATCTGAACCATAAGGTCCACTCAACCAATAGAGTCACAAAGTATTTCATAAAAAGCTACTAGTTTCAGTTTCAGGGACACTACTCCAGAGCCCAAGAAAGGGTGGAGTTGGACAACCTGAGCTGGGTGATTATTATGTTCAATCCTCTGGGTATGTATAAATGTATTACTTCTCCACACAAGTCCATACATAGAGAGGAGCTGAGGGTCTAACAGACTTAGGAAAGGTCCTAGGACCAGCAAGAGAAATTAACACTGAACTTAAAATGTTCTAAGGCCATACCAAGGGAAAAGGAACACCAGGGGTGACCTGTATCCTGATTACCATTGCAATAGCTCTCCACAATAGCCAACAGGAGATGGGCAGAACCCATCAACTCCATACAGATTCTACACAAAGGCTCCTAGGAACCAAAGAACCAAAGACCATCCTTCCAAAGCCTGGGCCTCAGAAAGAAGGGAGGCTTTCTAGAATCTTTCAGTTTCCTTGTCCTTCTCCTAAACCAGGTCTACTGTGTCAGGACTTAGCACTCTTAAAGGGCCAGGCTCCATGTTACATAGGTGGTTCTATTTCATATTTAACAAGTACTTAGTATTTCCTTTGTGCCAGGAACTATTTTAAGTGATAAATGTTAATTCATAGTGGGTTTTTGCTATTATTATCTGGTTGCTTGGTGGTTTTTTGTTTTTTCTCAGTACTGGTCCTGAATTGGCATATAGATGTTAAGTATTTTACCACTAGCCCTTAGGCTTTTTCGATTTTTTTGTTTGAAACAGTATCTCACTACATAGCCCTGATGACCAGAAATTTGCTATGTAGACTAGGCTGGCCTGGAACTCAAAGATCCAAATGCTTCTGCCTCCTGAGTGCTGGGATTAAAGGCATGCACCACTATGCTAGGTCCTTTTTCTAATTCTTGCTGGCAGTTAGCATACTGCTGAATAAGCAGCAGGCATTCAAAACTGTGCAGTCCTGACAGGGGCCCTGTTTCAAACCTCAGCATCATAAATAATAATAATAATAATAATAATAATAACAACATCATCACTAATGACAAGATACTAGAAATTCCAACAGAACAAACCCATTTATGTGTGTGCTTATAGTAAATACAGCTGAGCCTTGAACAGTAGAGAGTTGGAGTAGTGACTCCCACAGTCAAAAATCTGAGTATAGTTACTGATGCCCCCGAGCTTAACAGCCACTAATAGCCTACTGTTGATTAGAAGCCTTACTGATAACATCAAGAGTCAATTAACACTATTTACACAGGTATTATAAATAAGGAGAAATATACAAGAACTTTGAGATCACTCACTACTGCAGTGTGCAACTGACCAGACTAACTACTCACACAATGACGTAGCATGATATAAAATTTTAGGTGAATACTTGTCACAAGGCCACTGTAGTCACAAGAAATAACTAGAAAATTATCATATGAGAACAGGATGAACTATAATTTTATGTTATTATGATTTTTTTCACCGTACTTGTTTGTAGCCCAAGCTGGTCTCAAACTCACTATGGAACTAAGGATGACCTTGAACTTCTGATCTTCCTGCTTCTACCTCTCCATGCACCACCATATCTTTTAATGCAGAGCTAGACATGGAACTAGACCCTCATGCATGCTAAGCAAGTACTACCAACTAAACTGCATCCTCAGGCCCCACTCCTTTAATTTATTCATTCATTTATTTATTTATTTTTACTTGTTTTGTTTTGAGACAGGGTCTCCCTGTAGCCTCAGCTGGCTTGGAACTCTATGTAGACTAGGCTGGCCTTGATATTACAGAGATCTGCCTACCTCTCCCTCCCAAGTGCTGGGATTAAAGATGTGTGCCACGAAACCCAGCTCCCCTTACTTTTTGAGGCAGGGTTTAACTCTATAGCCCAGCCTGGCCAGAACTCACAATCCTCCTATTTTATTCTTCCATGTGCTGGGATCACAGGCATGTGCCACCACACCTGGCTCAATGCCTTTTTGGTTTAATACAGCATGTTTACATTTGCTTACATGTCACTTGGCTGCAAACGGCACCATGCATAGTCTAAGTTTTCATAAACAGACATATATTTTATATATTCCTGACATGCCTTTATATAAATGGCAAGGTTTATATTCCTCATCTGGGTTTTTCAGTGTTACAAATCTTCAGAAACTTAAAAATAAAAAATTAAAAAATCCAAGTATAAATAGACTCAAATTTATGTTGGTTACGGATCAACTGTACTAAGGTCAGAAACAGGCCTTACACTTCTTGCTCTCTTCCTTCTTGTCCCCAGAAGGTGCTATGGATGGAACCCAGGGCCTCATGCATGCTAGTCCAGTGCTCTAACAGTAGCTGCCCCCCGAGTCCCATCAGTCCTCACTCTGACAAGTCTTTGTTGAGAGACTGTATGATACCTAAACATCTGAGTGAAGATGCATAGCAGTGGTTCCTCCACTTCACAAAGTCCAGGCTCAACAAGAGGAAAAAAACACGCAAATGTAAAATTCAGCCTAACTATGCTATATGACGGACACCATACCTGTCCCAGCTGCTGCCTAAGAACTCTGAAAGGAGAGTTGCTGAGACTCACACACCTGAGAGTCCAATCTGATGTCCCAGGATAGTGGAGTACAGGTGTGTGACATTTCGAGAGTACCCTCCAAAGGGCTTGAGAGGGTCCAGGGTAAGGGTAATGGCCACTGAGATGTTGATGGGGCCCGACTCCTCCAGGGCCTGGGGCGGCTGGGTGGACACTCTGGCCTGCCCGCTGGTCATGGTACTCTCAGGGGTGGCGGTATCATTGGAGAGATGCTTCAGTGTCTCGTTTTCTGATGCACACAAGTCCAAATCATTAAACCGCAGTAGAAAAGTATTCCAATCCTTCAGCAAAGTGAAACAGAGAGACAGACATGAGCGGTCTCAAGTCTCCACTGCATGACCCTTGCCTGGTGCTGCAGCCCAAAGGGAAAAGGATGACTCAAGGTCACATTATACCTCTGGCAAGACAGTGTGACGATCCCAATCACATTACCACTTGTAACCTCAACTACATACTATACAATGGGGTGAGAGTATGCAGATGCCAAAAATTGTTCCTGTGAAGAACCCAGCATAGCCAGACACAGTGGTACACAACTTCAATCCCAGCACTTCGAAAGCAGAAGCAAGCAGATCTCTATGAGTTCTAAACCAGCAACCAGCTTGGTCTACAAAGTGAGTTCTAGGCCAGTCAGGGCTACAGAATGAGATCCTGTCTCAAAAAGAAGCGGGGATGGGGGCGGTGATCTGGCATATTGTACTTATGAGAAAAAAATCAACTAACCTCAGGATAAAACTTGAAAAGGAAGATTGAACAAGAGCAGGAACACATTCAAAGTTAAAATCACTCATTCAAACTCAAGTATTTTTATTTTTTTAAAACACAATATCATTAATCCCAGGCTGGTCTCCTATGTAGCAGAGAATGACCTTGAACTCTTGATCTCCTGCCTCCACCTCCCAAATCCTGGGATTACAGGTATGTGCCACTACACCTGTTTTATACAGTGCTGAGGATAGAACCCAGGGTCTAGTGTACAATAGACAAGCGCTCTACCAACTCAGCTACATTCCCAACCCAGTGAACTTTATCTACCACTGAACTCAGGATATCATTTATTCATTATGACATCTTATACATAAACTAGTAAGCATATTCTCATTAGTTCTATTAAACTATTATGAAATTTTTGGTTTTCTATATGTTAAATTTACAAGTTTAAAATCTGCATTTATGTGTTCAACTATTAAATACCTAAATTAAGGATTATGCCTTGATAACTTTATTAATTGCCCAAATGCAAATTCTATAAAGAAAGTGTATGAGCTGAGATGCAACTCAGGGGTAGAGCACTTGCCTGGCATGCATAGGGACCTGGGTATCATGGTAGCACTGAACCAAAAAAAAAAAGGAGAAAAAGTTTTTTAAAAAATTTTAAGTACTATATTGGAAAAGACCTGTTTCTGTTTCTAAATTTCCTTTGGATGCTAGGACTCCCTTTTATTTTGGTATTTTTTCATTAAGTTTTTAGTTTCACATATAAGGTAATGGGTTCATCATGGCATCTTCATACATATGTGTCATACATTTGTGCTGAATGGCTTAAGTTGTCAACATGACACACCTGGGTAGAGGGAATCTCAACTGAGGAACTGTCTCCATTGGAATGGCTTGTAGCCATGTCTGTGGGGCATGTTCTTAATTATTAATGTGGGAGAAGGGTTGTACCATTCTTGGACAGGTGGTCTTTAGTTATATAAGAAAGCAGACTGAGCACTGGCCAGAGTGCAAGTTAGTACCTGTATTGTGTATGCTCCAGGTTCCTGCCCTGAGTTCCTGCCTTGGCCTCCCCTGATGATGAACTGTGGGCTGTAAGCCAAATAAACCCTTTCCTCCCCAAGTTGATTTTCATCAGTGTTTTATCACAGCAATAGAAAGTAACTAAAACAGCAATGTTCTCATTCACTCTCCTTCCCCAGACCCCCTGGTTCCTTCTATGTGGCTCCCTTGTTTTCTACTTGGTAGGATCCCTTTTTTATCTTTTATTTTATTTATTTTTTTTTAAAGCCATCAGTGCAATAAAACCCAAAGGTGATTATGTCTTTGAAATGTGCCAGTTTTCAAAATAGTTTTCAATGGCCGGGCATGGTAGCACATGCCTTTAATCCCAGCACTCGGGAGGCAGAGGCAGGCAGATCTCTATGAGTTCAAGGCCAGCCTGGTCTACATAGTGAGTTCCAGGACAGCTGGGGTTACAGGGAGACCCTGTCTCAAAAAGACAACAAAAAAAAAAATTAGCTTTCAAAATTTAAGATCAGAATATCAGAAAAAGTGACACCTCCTCCTCACTCCCTTTTTTGTGAGCCAAGTTTCAACGATTGTGGCCCAGGCTGGCCTGGAACTCATGCCTGCCTCAGCTTCCCTAGTTGCTGGGATCACAGGTGTGCACGACCACATGTGGCCCTCTCCAATCTCTTCATACAGATTTTTTTTTCTTTTAATAAATACACTCTCAAGGCTAGAGAGATGGCTCAGCAGTTAAGAGCACTAGCTGTTCTTGCAGAGGACCCAGGTTTGGTTGCCAGCACCCACATGGTAGCTAACAACAATCCGTAATTCCAGTTCCAGGGGAATCTGACATCCTCTTCTGACCTCTGTGGGCATTGCACAACGCAGGTGCACTTACATGCATGCAGGCAATACATTCATACACATAGAATAAAAAAATAGAAATAAGACTGGGCGTGGTGGCACACGCCTTTAATTCCAGCACTTGGGAGGCAGAGGAAGGCAGATCTTTGTGAGTTTGAGTTCAAGGCCAGCCTGGTCTACATAGTGAGTTCAGGTCAGCTGGAGCTACAGGGAGACCCTGTCTCAAAAAGACAAAAAAAAAAAAAAAAAAAAAAACACTCTCACAAACGCATCTATTTGGCATAGTGGCACACACCTTTAATCCTAGCACTCAGGAGGCAGAGACAAGTAGATCTCTGTGAGTTCAAGGCCAGCCTGGTCTACAGAGTTCCATGCTAGCTAAACAAAAGGCAGAGAAGGGAGGGAAATGGTTCAGCACTTAAGAACACTTGCTGCTCTTCCAAAGGACCTGGGTTCAGGTTCCAGAACCTACATAGCAGCTAACGACCATCCCTAATTCCAGTTCCAGGTGATCCAACACTCTCTTCTGGCCTCTGTGGGAACTGCATGCACTGGTGCATCTACATACATGCAGGCAAAACACTCATACACGTAAAATAAAAATAATTTTTTAAGTCCTTTAAAAAAGCATCTGTAGGGGGCTGGAGAAGATGGCTCAGAGGTTAAGAGCACTGACTGCTCTTACAGAGGACCCGGGTTTGATTCCCAGCACCTACATGGCGGCTAACTGTCTGTAACTCCAATTTCAAGAGAATCCAATGCCTTTTTCTGACCTCTGTGGGCACCGCACAACACAGGTGCACTTACACACAGGCAGGCAATACACTCATACACATAAAAATTTTTTTAAATGAATAAAAATTTTTAAGAACATCTGTTTCTCTACTGAAATATTATACATGAAACTGATAGTATCATTTAAAACAATTAACTATCTAGGATTCTCTAACAAAACCAGACACAGGAAGACAGAAGATAGGGAATTTTGTATAACTAAAGATCTTTTGCTAGACATGTATGCAGACTTGAGAGGTGGAGGTAGGAGAATCTGGAGTTCAAGGCCAACCTGGACTACAAGACACTGTCTCAGGGACAACCAAAAACACCAGTTATGCAGGCATGTAACCCAAGCACTAAGGAGGCTGAAGCAGGAGAATCACAAGTTCCAGGTCAGCTTGGATTTCATTGTAAGTTCCAGGCTAGCCTGGGCTTCATAGTGGGTCCTCAAAACATAAATAAATAAAAGCTGTGCCCAGCCAGTCCCATGAGATCCAGCCAGCCCAAGAAGAGCATACTGGATAGGCGTGGTGGTTCATGCCTTTAATTCCAACACTCAGGAGGCAGAGGCAGGCAGATCTTTGTGAGATCAAGGCTAGCCTAGTCTACATAGCTGGTTCTAAGCCAGCTGGGGCTACAGGGAGACCCTGTCTCAAAAAGACCAAAAAATAAATAACAAATAAATAAATAAATCAAACAAGCAAGCATACAGTACCTCGGTCATTTCTGGGGATTTAATCTCCTTGATCTTGAAGAAATAGCCCAGGGTGAGGAAGGCAATGGCCATGGCGCTGACACTAATCATGAAGACCACCAGAGGTGGCCGGCTGCTGATATACAGCTTCAGGTTCTCCAGGGGGTTGATGCTAAACATGCTTCTCATCAGCTGCACCTGAAACAAATTCAGCACAAGATTGACGGGCAGCCTGGCCTGGAGAAGAGCCATAATTCCACCTAATGGAATCTCTGGGCAATGGAAGACACTAACTGAATTTGAGAAATGTGTGCTCAATAAATTCATGCAGAAGACTAGGAGCTGGGCACACTGGTGCCAGCCCGAACTATAGAAGACTGTCTAAAAATAATAATATACCTCTCCCTCTCCCCCCCCCCACATACACACACATACACACACACACCACACAAATAAGGGGCTGGAGAAATGGCTCAGGGGTTAAGAACACTAGCGGCTCTTCCAGAAGACCCAGGTTCAGTTCCCAGCACTCACGTGGCAATAACTTCTGTAATTTTCTAGTTCCAAGGAATCTGACACCCTCTTCTGGCCTCCACAGACACTGCATGCACATAGTGCATATACATACATGCAGGCAAAATACTCATATACATAAAAATAAAAAATAAATCTTACACATATACAAATAAGGGCTGGAGGTGCAGATTAGTTGGTAGAGTGCTTGCCTAGAATGCATGAAGCCCTGGGTTCCATGACCACCACCACATAAACCAGGCATGATGATGTACACTTAATCCTAGAATTTGAGATGGCAGCAGGGTTATCAGAAGTTTAAGCTCATCCTCAGCTACACAGTGTCTTTAAGACCAGGCTGGGCAACATAAAACCATTTCTCTCACACAGTACACTATTATTATAATTAATTCATGCAAATGCAAAACTTTTATCTACTGATTTGCCTTGTATATCCTCATCAGTACAGATATGAATCAACACCAAAAAAATTAATCAAATAGTTTATGTCAACAGATAAGGGCAAAAACTATTGTTTACACACTGCAGATAAGGCATTCATTGAAGTGTAGTATCTGACTGAATGTGGTAGATATAAATTTAGCATGCAAGGGGCCCTGGATTCAATCCCCAGTGCCAAGAAAAGAAACAACAACAGAACAAACAAAAATCAGGTGTGGTAGCCCATGCCTGTAATCTCAGCATTTGGGAAGTAAAAGCAGGAAAATCAGGTCAGCCTGGAACACACAAAGCCCTGTTTCAACCCTTCTTCCCCAAAAGAATAAAAAGTAATATTTATATTGAAAATGTTTTTGTAAACTTGGAACAGTACTTCCTTAACCCCATTAAGGCTTCCCATCAGAAGCCTGTATTATGTCCCAGATTTAATAGTGAATCATTTCAAAGCATTTTCTTTAATATCAAAAGTGAAGCAATAATTTTATCACTGCTACTGCTGTTGATCATTTAATTGGAGGGAGGGAGGAAGAAAAAAGAAAAGGATTGGTTGGGAATGATGAAATACTGCTACTGCTCTTATTTGCGAACAGTGTAATGTTATCTACATGGCAAATCCAAGAGAGGTCACAAACAGCCTGGTTAGAATTTAAAATATTTCAGCTAAGTATGTATATCAAGATCAGTAGAGGACTGGGAATATAATTCAGTAGTAGAGCAAATTTGGGTGAGTTTAGTATGATCACGGATTTGGGGATTGTGTTTTGGTGTTAGGACCCCAGCCCCTGATCTTATTATATAACTCTTAGGAACTGCTCTGCTAATACGCTTGCCACTTCAGTCTCAGTGTTCCTACGAGATAAGAAGAGATTGGGACAGTGTGACCTCATTTTGCACAACTGTATCTTGTCTCATAGAAAGAGACATATAGTCTACATCTGCTTTCTATTCACATGGCTCTATTGCAAGACAGATAGGTTGAATTTTCTCTCTATTCACATTCTGGAACAATGTAAATAAGATGTGCTTCTTTTCCTTTTGTTTCTTGGGTATTTGATGGGTCTTGGCCAGAAAACCAAGTTTTTGTTTGGTTTTCTCTTTTTTCTTCCTTTTTTTTTTTTTTTTAAGAGAGGGTCTCCCTGTAGCCCCAGCTGGCCTGGAACTCACTATGTAGACCAGAGTGACCTCAATCTCACAGAGATCCACCTGCCACTGCCTCCCAAGTGTTGAGATTAAAGGAATGTGCCACCATACCCAGCTTTAAAAATAAAATCTTAAAAAATAAACTTTACAGAACTAAAGAGATGGCCCAGTGGTTGAATACTGGCTGCTCCTGCAGAAGACCTGGGTTTAGTTCCCAGCACCCACATGGCTGCTAACAACTGTTGAAAGCTCCAGTTCGAGGGGACTCAATGTGCTCTCCTGGCCTCTGAGAGCACTGCATACACGTGGTACATACATACATGCAGGTAAACATTTTAAAATGAAAATAAACTTTACTGAAAAGAATTATTTTTATTTCCTCAATTTTTAAGGATAAATTTTGAGAGGGTTGCTGTTCTTTTTAAGACAAGAGCCTCATGTATCCTAGGCTAGCCTAGAACTCATATAGACAAGGATGACTTTTGAGTTTCTGGCCTTCCTGCCTCCACCTCCACAATGCTAGGATAACAGGTGTGTGCCACCACATCTGATCTATGGAACCCAGGGCAGCTCATGGGATACCTCCTTTAAAAAGTTTCCAGGCCCCCTTCAAAATGCTTCAGGAAGAAGTGACCCTACCGACATCTATGCACCCTAGGGAGCCTGCCAGCATTGCTCGCTCAAGCCTGTGGTACCTTACTACAATTTCCAAGCTATAAGCCAACAGCTCAGGAGCACGTAGTCTTACTTGTCTCTGCCTGAACATAGTTACATATCAAGTAGGTGATTAGGAAGAGAGACAGGGGCCAGGTATAATGGTGCATGCCTTTAAATCCAGTACTACAGAGGCAGAGGTTGGTGGAGTCTGTGAGATAAAGGCCGGCCTGATCTACATTGGTCTACATAGCAAGTTCTAGGCCAACTGGGGTTACAGGGAGACCCTGTCTCAAAAAAAAAAAAAAAAAAAAACCAATCAAAAAGAAGAGGGACAGGGAGAAGTTGACCAACAGGTTATAAGTTACAGTTGCATAGGAGCAAGAAATTCTGGGGTTCTGTTCTACAGTAAGACCATCTTCAAACTGGACCACTAGTCTAGGCAGGCCTTGAACTCCTGATCCTCCTGTTCCACTTTTCCAAAGGCTGAGATTATACGGTGCTAGGATTACAAGTGTACAACTCCATGCCTGGTGATAAAAGATTTTTAAATAAAACTATTAAAAGTCCAAATATTTCACAAACTCAAAACTGCTTTCTCAAGCATTTTCAAAAAGGAAATTTAAAAAGGTTAAATTAATGTCTTTATCTGCAAAGAAGTACAAGAAAATTTCTGTAATCTTTGTAATAGTAGACCTTACTTTTAATTAAAGAATACATTAAGTTCTGTTTGGGGAAAAGAGAAAGTGAAAGAGCCTGAACCCTTTCCTCTAAGTCCATACCAACTCAAAACTAGGATGGAAAGCAATGAGGGCTGGGAAGCAGTCTCCAAGAAGGGCAGGGATTGAGGGACACAAGATACAACCAAAAGGCAATTAATTCCACAGACACAAAATGCACATGAATACTGGTCATCAGCACAGTGCCTAAAGCACTAGGTCAGTCAGCAGACAGTGACCTGAGCAAGAGGCAGTGCTGTCTACACTGAAGGCAGCTCCAACAATCCCCCATTTCAAGAACACGAGTTACTTAAAAGGAGACAGTGACAACTATGTGACATTCTCAAAATCCACGTGGAATCTACCCTAGCACATTTTGGCCTCTGCCATTCTATGTCTAAAAACTTAACCATGACCGTAAAACAAGATTTAACTGCTGATCTGATTACCTTTGCAATGTTTAAAATAGTGGGGAGGTGAGCTGTGAGATGGTTAAGGGGGTAAAGGTGCTTGCCAGGCAAGACTGGTGGCCTGAGTTTGATCTTTGGAACCCACATAAAGATGAAAGGAGGAAACTGACTCCACAAAGTTGTCCTTTGACCTCCACATGTGCCATGGCATCCACACCATGACATGCATGTATCCACACACACAAAAAAAATTAATGTAATAAAAAAATGAAAAGAGAGAAATGAAAATCAAAGATACCAATAATGATGTAAGCAAACTCTTTCACCAGAGTGACAGAAACAGAACTAGATTACAAAGGACTAAGGAGAAAACAGGACTCTTCACAACTATGACTTACATACGCATCATGCCCTAGGCACCATGTCAACTGCTTAGCATATGTCAGATATTTTAAGCATTCCAACATCAATAGGTGGGTATTAGTATACCCATTCTACAGAAGGGGAAACTGAGCCAAAAAGAAAGGTTAGTTAATATATAAGGGCATGCTGCATGTATGTAACTGAGATGGATTCTTAATGTGCTGTCAATCACAATGCCAAAGCCAATAGGAGGGTTCAAGCCAATCAATTTCATATGCCATAGATTTTCATATGCTTAAAGTTACTGATTTTAATAAACACACAATTTTGTCCTTTTTCCCCCTGCAGCTGAGGAATGAACTCGGGGCCTTACGCTTGGCAAGTGCTGTTATCACTGAGCTAAATCCTCAATCCCAATAAACACACAATTAAGATCAAGCTTTTTCAGAAGTTTGAAAGCAACTCCTGTCTTGCCACCTATGCTGTCCGTTGTTCTCAGCAGTTTCACTATCTAGCCCAGGCTATCCTTGAAACTGGATCCTCCGATCTTTGCCTCCCAAGTGCTCAGATTACAGGCATGAACCACCATGCCCTCTCAGAGTCTTAATCTGAGTACAATTCACAGTGAAGGAGAGACTTCACAGTAGCTCAAGGTTAACATGATCAAAAGAGAAGTTACAACAAAAGCATAAAGCTGCCTTTTAGTCCCAGAATTGAGTTCCAGGACAGCTGGCCTGCATAGCAAGTTCCAAATCAATAAGAGTTGCATAGTAAGACGAAAGAGAAAAAGAAAAAAAAAAAAAATCATTACATAAAATAAAACCACGGTGAGCTGGAGAGATGGCTCAGTAGTTAAGAGCACTGGCTGCTCTTCCAGAGGAGCCAGGTTTGATTCCCAGCACCCACATAGTGGCTAACAACCATCCATAACTCAAGTTCCAGAGGACCCAACACTTTCTTTTGTCCTCCGTGGACACTGCATGACACAGATGCACTTACATATGTGCAAGCATAATACTCAAATATAAAAGCAAATAAATAAAAACAAAATAAGTAAAATATAAAGATAAATAAAGCCATGGTAACTTCCCAAATATACCCATTTCGCTCTCTCCCTCCTTTCCTTCCTCTCTGTCTCCCTCCTCCCTTCCTCCCTCAACCTCACACTCCTGAGTGGTAGGATTAGAGATGTAGTTACACACACCCTCACATTTGTCTCTTTAAAAAAAAAAAAAAAGAGGACTAGAGAGATGGCTCAGCAGTTAAGAGAGCTTCTTCCTCTTCAAGGACCTGAGCTGGATTTCTCAGTACCCATGTCAGGCAGCTCACAGCCTCCTGTAACTCCAGCTCCAGAGGATCTGACGCCCTCTACTGGTCTCAGTGGGTACTGCGCTCACATGAACCTACACACAGACAAACACAAAATCTTTTTTTTCACAAGTGCTCCTCTAAGTTGGATGTAATGGACCTGTAATACCAGCACCTGAGAAACAGAGGCAGCTTGATCTCTGTGAGTTTGAGGACAGCCTGGTTTATATAGTTAGACCTTGTCTCTCTCAAACAAACAAAAAAAAAATCAGAGTAAATATTGGGAGAAAATGTTTGGAAACTAATACTCTAACCAAACAGGACAAAAGCCCCGTCAACAAATGACTGTGTTCACAAAGTTCCCAGGATTACAACAGAAAGTGCTAATGATGTCTTATTTCTTTGAGTTCTACCTAGGAAAGATAATTTAAGGATTTCCAAGTTTATCAAAGTAAATATTACACAAATGTTCAGTTTGCTAAAAACTACCTTTTTTCCAATTCCCTTTCTTCATTTTAATTGGAATGTCTCACGTGGTAACTGGTATTCTATGGCCTGTCAATACTGACAAAAACGCCTACCCTCCCTGCACCATGCTCTGCTGCCTCCCATCAAGACCACACTCTTGTATAGAGAGGAGGAGGGGAGCAATGGGCAGAGAGGGAAGAAGGGTCAAAGGGAAGATGAAGACGGCATGGCATGCGCAGAAAAGGAAGACAGAAACTGATAAGGGCCTGGGATGAATCAAGTTCCAGAATCATGCCGTGGCATTCTGTTTGAATGGCTTCATAGAAACGGTGTGCAGACACCCAATCTAATTTCCTGATTGCTAAAACCAGACAGGACTGGCATGCTGTCCTTAGGATGAGGTAAGAACTGATGTATGCCTGACTGCTTCAGAGAAAGACACACTCAGTAAATGAACACAATTCTTTAGAACAAGAGCTATGCCTGGCACTCTCTGGTGTTTAGCATCAACTTGTAATGAACTGATGTTGTCAACACCTTGAGGCCCAACTTCCCAGGCTAGGTGCTCTGTCACCAGCTTAACCTCACTATTTCTGAATGTCCCAATCTTCCTGGTCTTTGTGGGTCCACTTCAAAGTCAGTGCCTTGATGAAGCTTTCTAATCATACCTATCACAAAATCACAACACCAGCAGATCCATGTTGGATTAAGTCCTGCCACATTTTATAGCCTACTGCTTTCCTAAGTCAGTGGATAGAAACTTTGCTGACAGCTCACTCTCTCTCCTCCCCAGAGCACATCTCTATACCCAGATGCCAGTCCCAATCCAGTCCAGCTGAGTCAGCCACAAAAATTTTTCAGCACTTATACTACACATTGAACACATGGCCTCCCTACTCTACAAAGTCAGCACACTTGGAGTCAAGAAGTATCTCCTGGGTATACCACAATATCCTTAGATGACATAAGGAAGGAAAAAGTCACCTGTCATACACCAGCATGGGCATCCATCTACAAATGGCACATAGATGTTCAGACACCACACTGATTTGATACCTCAGCTATAAACCAATTCATGAAACACTCATACCACCCACCTTGGGGTCTTTCATTCCTCTGTCTCCCATAGTGGTGCAACTTTAGGACAAGAAAGTAGCAGAAGCCACATCTTTCCAAGGCAGACCCCAGTGCTTGCCACTTACCATCCAGCAAGGGTATACTCCACTCCTTGAAAGCTAAAATCAGACATCTACAAAGGCCCCCTCACCAGCTGACAATTACAACATTTGTACTATCTTTTTTTAATATTTTATTATTTTATGTGTATCAGTGTATTGCCTGCATGTATGTAAGTGTACCCAGGTCACTCAATGCCCATGGAGGTCAGAAGAGTGCATCAGATCCCCTAGAACTGGAGTTATGTACAGTTGTTAGCCACCATGTAGGTGCTGGGAACCAAACCTGGGTCCTCTGCAAGAGCAGCCAGTGCTCTTAACTGTTGAGCATCTCTCCAGCCCCATCATTCAGATTTTCAAAATAACACAACAGACCTAATTTTATTCTTTGACTTTGGTTGGGTTTTTTGACATAGGGTTTTGCTATGTAGCACAAGCTGCCTTTGTGCTTGCTATCCTCTAGCTCCTGTCTCCCCAGGGCTGAAATTAAAAGGCTGAATCATAGTTCAAGGCCAGCCTGGTCTACATAGTGAGTTCAGAAAGACCTGTCTCAGAAAGACCAAAAAAAAAAGACTGAATTATGCCCTACCTTTATTTCCCATTTATTTTTTTTTTGTTTATTTGAGACAAGGTCAGTAACCTCAAACTCATAGCAATCCACCTGCCTTAGCTTCCCAAATGCTGAGGTTACAAGTGTTCATCACCATACATCGTTTTATTATCCATGGTGTCCATCCAGGGAACTGGAGCTGTATGCCTTACATTATCCTGAAATCATCCCTTGATTTGATTTATTAAACTGTAAGTACTTGTTAAAAACCACCCCATCTCTGGATATCTACTGGATATCTACTAGCCCTGCCACACAATCACTATACTGTTTACAACCTGGGCCTGGTGACACACACCTATATTTCTAGCACCTGAAAGGCTGAGGCAGGAAGATCACAAGTTCAAACCCAGACAGGGCTACAAAGTGAGCTTGAGGCTAGCCTAGGCTACATAGCAAGACTATGTAAAGAAAAAAATTTTCTTTTTTAAATCCAGACTTAAATGGTATGAGGGTGCATACCTGTAATCCTGGCATTTAGGAAGCTGAGGCAGGAGGATCAGGAACTCAAGGCCAGTCTGGGCTACATGAGGCCCTGTCTCAAAGATTCAAAAGAGTAAAAGAAAAAAAATATATGTATTGGCATATATGTGTGTGTGTGTGTGTGTGCCATTGCCAATCCTGGCAGGGTGGTGCACACTTACCATCCCAGCTCTTCAAGAAGTCTGAGACAGGAGGATCAGCAGTTTAAGGCCAGCCTTCACTACACAGCAAATTCAAAGCCAGCCTGAGCTGCATGAGACCCTATCTGGAAGACTCAAAAGATTAAAACCCAAAGAATTCCCCTAATCTGTTTAGAGATCGTGCACATCTGCTGCCATCCCACCTTCTCTTCACACGGAAAACTATGACCACCACCCAAAGTTTTAAAAAAAAGGCAAAAACAGAGGCTCCACCCAGGCCGCAGCCCCAAGCTCAGGAGCCCCCTCCCCGCCAACCCTCTCCAGAGTACGGAGGTGAGAGGGCTGAGGGGTGGATGAGCCCGTACACCACTGACCCCAACCCGCTTCCCGGGAGCACCCGGCCTACAGCTCTCCCCGGCCTACCTCAGCATCACGCCTTCAAACCTCAGCACCTGCGCTCCTGCTCTATCTACCTCGGCCGGCCGGTGCCCCATCCATTCCCTCCTCAACCCGATCGCCCGCAGACCCGACCTCAGCAAGCGCGCCCCCAAGCCCTACCTCAACACGCGCGCGCCCGAGCCCTACCTCAACCTGCGACTCTACCTCAGCAAGCAAGCGCCCGCGAACCCTACCTCAGCACACGCGCGCCCGACCCCTACCAGTGGATTCACGCCCCCGACCCTTACCTCAGCCGGCAAATCCTACCTCGGCACGCGCGCCCCCGACCGCTACCTCGGCACGCGCGCCCGATCGCGCCCGGTCCTCCACTCACCGCCCCGCCGGCCTGCGGCTCCGCGGACGCTGGCGGCCTGGCTCTGCTCACTCGCGGCGGCGCGCGGCGGGTCCGGGACCACCTGGCACCATCTTACCCGCCGCGCCCGGGGTGGCGAACTCGGGGTCCCACGCTACGACCCGAAGTTTGCCCGGAGCGCGCCGCCGCGACGCCGGCTCTGCGCGCGCTGCGAACACCGGACTTTCCGGGTGAAAGCGGAAAACCACGTCACCGCCAACGCCACCGTGACCTCCGACCCCCTCGTGCGACGGTTGCGCGTCAGGGACAGAATTATTCTCGAATGAGCGGAAATGACGTTCCCTGTTTCTTTGCGGACCAGAATGTCGGAATGTGACCCTGTGAGGAGTACGTGACACTCGTTCGCGAATCGCGGAGTATGGGGGGTGGAGGGGCTGTGCGGGCGTCCTACACCTCTGTGAGTGGATCTGTGTATAAGGATGTGGGGAGGGCAAGATTTGGGAGTTTTGTTTGGAGTTGGGGGGGTTATTGATTGTGTGTGTGTGTGTGTGTGTGTGTGTGTGAGAGAGAGAGAGAGAGAGAGAGAGAGAGAGACCGAGACTCATATAGTCAGTCCAGTTGGCCTCACCCTCACTCTGTAGCGGAAAGTAGATTCTATGTAACGTGGCCGGATTTCACACTGTGTAGCCTGGTCTGTCTCCAAACTTACTACCTAGCCCAGGCTGGCCTCAAACTCTGTAACTCAGACTTGCCTCCAAATCACTCTGTAGCCCAAAGTAGACTCAAAACTATGTAGCCTTACAATGTAGCCTAGGCTTGCCTCCAACTCACAATGTAGCCCAAGGTGGACTATGTAACCTGGCCAGACTTTACTCTTACTATGTAGCTCAGTCTGGTCTCAAACACCAGATCTTCCTGCCTTCACCTCCCAAATGCTGGGATTATAATCCTGTGCCAAAACCATTTGTGGACACTAAAAACTAATAGTAGAGGAAAATAAAATTTAAGTCAAATGTAAAAATACACTTTCAAAGATTGAGGTATAATCAAATGCAAGAGAGGAAAGAAAATTACTGAATAACTCTCAGGCAATATTGGGGATGGACCTCAAAACCTAGGAAAGAAAAATCACCAAGTGATGCATTACATCATGGTTCCATCGGGGACAGTTAAAACACAAAAAGCTAACTAGTGTATCATTTCTCGATACATACATAAATTGGTGAAATTGGCAAGAAGTCTGAAGGAAAAATGCACAAACTTCATGGGGTTTTGTTGTTTTTGTTTTGGTGGTGGTAGCTGTTTGGGTGTTCCGTTTGGTTTTGAGACAGGGTCTCAGTATGTAGCTAAGGGTGGCCTGAGACTCAGGCTGACCTCAGACTTGTGATCCTCCTTCCCCAGCTTCCTGAGTGCTGGGATTACAGGATTGCACCACTGTACCCAGCTCTCCAAACTCCATGTTTGTGTGTTAAGGAGACAGGATGGAGAACAGAACACTGGATACATTAGGGTAATGGAAGTGTTCATTTTAAGAGGTGGTGGGGGCTGGAGAAATGGCTCAGCAGTTAAGAGCATTTGCTCTTCTTGAGGACCTCCTCAGCACCCATGTCATGCACCTCACAACTATCTGTAATTTCAGCTCCAGAGGATCTGATACCCTTTTCTGGCCTCATCAGGCACCCCCACACATGTCACTCACACACACACACACACACACACACACGCATACACATAAAAATACAAAAATAGATGCTGAAGAGATGGTTCCTAGGTTAAGAGCACTTGCTTCATTTCCTAATACCCACATGGTGACTTACAAACTTTCTGTAACCCCAGTTCCAGGGATCCAGCACCCTCTTCTGGCCTCCATGGACACTGCGTGCACATAGTTCATATACATACTGTTAGGATTTGAGAATCGAGACTAATTCCCACAGATACTCAAAAAGATTATATAAAAAGTTTATTTAAAGAATTTAAAGTAAAAAAAGACAACCAAATGGCGGCTAGCCAGGTACAGACTTCACGACCAAAGATGGAGTCTGGCCCTGAACAATAGCAGGCAGAAGCTTTTATTGGGGCACTCCACAGAAACCTGTGTGCATGCCAAGCACCTTTTTAAAATAATTGGATGTCCCCATATCCTGTGTACGGGGAAAGTCTTGATTGGTATGGGCTGTCTTCAGGGCATTGGAATGTGCTGACTAATATCTTTAGAGTCAGAAATTTTTGTTCATACCTTATAAGGCTTTTACATGTACAATATATCTCAGCTTGTCTGGGCTTGTCTAAAGAAGCTAGCCAAAATGGAGTCAAAGCATTCTGGCTCTTCATTCCCCCCTAGAGTTATGGCAAGGGTTAAATCTTTAAGCCAAGCAAATTACAGAAGCAGAAAGAAGCGGTTAGACGGCGCATTTAGGGTGGTGGGCCGTTTCTATATTGTCGTAAGGCTCGGGAGTCTCGATTTAAATGAGTATACTGAGAACGCAGTACCATCAGTTGGACTGTCTGTATCCGTTCTCAGATGAATTTGAGTAAGGCATTAAAAATACAGGGGCCACAGGTAATTGCTGATAGGAGTAAGAAGAGAGGTCCAACTATTGCTGAGATCAAAGGTGTTAACCATGGGGACCAGTCGAATAGGGATTCATATCAATTTTGTTGATTTAGTTGTTCATTTTCTCTTTCCTTAAGTCTTTCACAGACCTCAGCCAAAGACTGTCTTATAACTCCCGAGTGATTAACATAGAAACAGCACTGTTCCCCTAGGGCAACACAGTCCTCCTTTTTCTAGAAAAAGTAGATCCAGCCTTCCCCTATTTTGTAAGGTTACCTCAGCTAAAGAGGATAGAGAGTCTTCAAGGTGGCAGATAGATGTTTCTAATGATTGTATGTCTAAGTCTATGGCCTGTCTAAGAAGGTGATAATTTTTATCCTGGAGGACTAGCGCTGAAGCCCCCAGACAAGTTGCAGTGGTTACCCCAACCCTGAGTAGAGTAGGCAAGACAATTGCAGTGGTTCCTATGGCCCTACGAGGTCTAGACTCTTCTGAGACTCTGGTTTCCATTTCTATGTCTGTTCTATAATATAGATGGGGAACCAGCTGCACTAGTACACAAAACCCCCCAGTCTGGTTAAGAATGGATGAGTGGGGGCATGTAGTTAGGCCAGAGGTACAGGCCCACCAAGTGGAGTTGGGGGGCACCATATATGGGTTAGGTGTAGTAGCCCTATCTCTTGAACAGAGTTACATAGATGTTGGTAAGAAGGGGGGACAATTTTATGCGAGGGAGTCACGCATAGCCTTTTCCATACACTTGGGTAAGGGTAACCTCCCTTCTCCCTGTAGGTGGGGGAATTCTACAGGCAGTGGGGTCAGAAGTGACAACATAATTTCCTGGGAGAGCTAACCCATCATAAAAGGGAGGGCTCGGGTCCATGCAAAACCAGCAATGGATAGTAAAGTTAGGGGAAGTATTATTTAAAGCAATGAAGGTGGCATTTAGGAGGTTTGTAAGCGCAGGGGATGGCTGCAAGGGCTCTTGGACCCATTGGATCTCTGGGAGTGTGGCTCTAGGTGTGGGCAAAGTAGCAGTTTTATCCAGTCAGACAATTTGGCTAGGAGCTTGCCTCTCGACAAATTTAAAAATAGTTAAGGCCGGTATTGGTCATCCTATAGGCTGTAACACTGGAAGGTGGCATTTAGGAGGTTTGTAAGCGCAGGGGATGGCTGCAAGGGCTCTTGGACCCATTGGATCTCTGGGAGTGTGGCTCTAGGTGTGGGCAAAGTAGCAGTTTTATCCAGTCAGACAATTTGGCTAGGAGCTTGCCTCTCGACAAATTTAAAAATAGTTAAGGCCGGTATTGGTCATCCTATAGGCTGTAACACTGTCTGTCTTAGTTTGTTTCTTCATTGCTGTGACAAAACGCTCTGACCACTATGAACTTGGGGAGGAAAGGGTTTATTTAGCTTACATCTCCCAGGTCAGAGTTCATCTGGGAGTCCAAGGTAGGAACTCAGGGCAGGAACCTGGAGGCAGGAGCTGGAGCACAGGCCATGGAGGAATACTGCTTACTGACTTGCTCCCCTGGCCCCTGCTCAGCCTGATTTCTTATGCTACATAGGCCCACCTGTGTAGGGGAGGCACCACCCACAGTGGGCCCTCCAACATCACTCATTAAGAAGATGCCCCTCAGACATGGTCACAGGCCAGTCCAATAGAGGAAATTCCCCAATTGAAGCTCCCTCAACCCAGGATAGTCCCCTGGCCCCCCAGAAGTACTCCTTCAGTCACCATTGTCACCTGGGCAAACATAAAAGTGGTGCTCCTTCATCCTCTTTTGGCCGAGGGGAGACTGGTAAGCATAATTTACAGTGCCTGATGGGGTGTATGATTCCCAAGCTCCTTCAAGCAGGTCACAGAGGTCGAATATAATCTTGGGGAACCAGGTGCCTGGAGGTTCCAGGTAGGAGGAGATGTTCACTATCTTTCCAGTGGATGAGGTACTAACTACCCAGGTGAGGTTTTGGAGTCCATGAAGGGAGTTAGCTAGGCCAGACTTTATAAAAGAAATAAAAAAGCAACAAGGTTTATGGTGTGGCAGAGATTTTTAGCTTGAGAGGATTGTCTTTTACCTGTGTGACCTTCCATCTCTTGTCAACTTGGTCTGACCAATCTTCTGGTGCAGGCTTTAGATGTGAGTGATGTATCCAGGTCTGGACACTGGCCACCTTAACCACAGTAGGGGTGGTAAGGATCACAATGTGTGGCCCCTTCCATCAAGGTCTGAGGGGCTCCTTGTGGTGCCAACTCACCCAAACAAGGTCTCCTGGCTTGAATCCATGCTGTTGGGCTGGTGGCAGTTTGTAGATGTGCCACAGCAAGGGAAAATGTTGTCTTGTGCAATCTGTAAGGCCTGTAGGGGCTTAAGAAATTGGGATTCAGACAAGTCAATTAGCACATCTGAAGGTAGCTTGGGAAGCAAAGGGGGTGGTCAGCCATACGTGATTTCATAAGGTGTTAGGTCTTGAGTACATGGGGTATTTCTGACCCTGTATAGAGCAAAAGGTAAGAGGCCTGTCCAGTCATCGCCAGTTTCTAGGGTTAATTGAATTAAGGTCTCTTTAAGGGTCCGATTCATTCTCTCTACTTGCCCTGAGCTTTAGGGGTGGTATGTGCAATGTAACTTCCAATTAGTTCCCAGTGTTTTAATTAACTCTTGAGTTACCTTAGAGATGAAGGCTGGCCC